AATTTCTTGTGGTATTTTGGTGATTGTTGTATGAAAGATTAAGGTTAAACTCGATGTTATAGTGAAAGGAATAATGAAGAATGTTTAGATCAGTTAATGCAACTAGCTAAACTAATTATAACGCTACTGGACGTCCTGGCCCCTGCGCTCAGTCTTCGGTGTGTCCGGGATTGAATCTTGCAACGAACCGTGAAGTTGGTCACTTCGATCCAAGCCTCACTCTATCCCACGTTGTGTTTGTTTTGATCACAAGGCAGGCGAGGATCAAATCGTCGCCAGATATCGCTGGATTTTGTGTCCTTCAAGCGGGACGATGTTATAAAACAAAAAAAAGTTGTTTAAATCAACAAAGTTTATACAGGAGCACTTTTTCGTATAATTCAAAAATACGCTCTTGTCGTCAGTGATGTAATTTGACTCGGTTCATCAGGGAGTTTCGGGTCTTTCAACATCATACACCCCATCACCTAGACGACCCCATCAGGGGAGATCAATCCCTGATTCCCCACTCACAATCAAACGCTAACAGCTACTCTGGCCTTTTTAAAAAAAATAGACGAAGAAAGACCACGTTTTCCGCACACCCGATTGGATGTTTGTAACAACCAATCCGCTGCGCGGACTATCTTTTAAATGGTCCATGGTGTGGACTGGCTTCTTTTCTTTCTTTTTCGGTGGATAGCAGTTTCAATGGATAACCGAGGAGGTAATCTAACGTTCCTCCTATTTTATTTGCTAATACCCCTTTTTTCCTTCCGCTCCTCATACCCAAATTTTCCTGCTGCATAACTAGTGATGATTTTGGACAATGTCGTTAGTCGTTTGTCCACCGAACCTCTCGATGTTGTTTCAAGGATATCGCCGATGTCCTCGTCAAATTCGTGCCAGGCGTGTTTGTCACTGGCTGGGGACCATTTAATCTTTCTTCGAAATGGAGTATCAGGCTCCACTTGAAGCTCTGCTTGGAAGGACTGGGCACTGTGATGAGCTTCCAGGCCCTGCACCTCCTGCGTCTCACCAGGAGAAACTCCTGCGCGCTGCTGTTGGTTCAACTGCACCTGACACTTCACTTTTGCCTGATAGATTTTTAGGCCGGGCATATTTTTGCACATCTTTCCACATGGGCATAACAGTTTCGTTGTCCGTAGATCCGTATCTTGGTTCGTTTCCGATAAGAATCAACAAGCATGCAGGCTAACGACTATTCCCTCGTAGTCTAATTTCGTGGCACTTTATTCTTTGTTTCCAAGTCGGAGCCGAGATTTCAAACTTTAAGTCAGAAATTTCTTCAGGCAGCAAATTACGGAATGCCGACAAAGCACTCGTCTCCATCTCTCTCTCTCTCTCTCTCTGTCGTTATATAAAGACTTTCAATTCTTCCACTTTGTAATTTCATCAGGGCACTCAGCTCAATTTATCTAATAGTCTAGAACAACGCATGAGTCAGGAGTTCTTCGTGGCAACAAATCACATGGCGTAATGGAAGCGCATCTCTGCCTCAACTGCTCTCTCTCTCTTCTCTATTCTCTCTCCTGGAATCTCTGCATAGCTATTTATGGAGTCCAACTTCCAAAAACCAGGTTTGAAGTTGTCTTACTCTGGAATGCCTTCGAATCGCCTGTCACCCATTCAAATCTCTCCACGGGTGCTGCTGGGTGGCCCTTGTATGTCCAAATATGATGGGATCCCTCTACTGGGTGGGGGGTAGCAACACGTCGATCCGCCATCTTATTCTCCCCACTTCTCTTGCTCGCACCAGTACCTTTCAGTAGGTGTATTCATTTTCCTCCCACTTCCTCATAATAGCTCCTCACGCTGCCGCCATCCAGAGAATAGATGTTCTACCGTGAACGCCTGACACAAAACAGATATTACTTTTAATGTCATCGTAAAATTATTATCTGCATTTCTCTATTCGTAATTATCACGTTTGGTCCATAATTTTCCTCTTATTCCCACTTTACCGAAATTTTCCTGCCTAAGAAAATCTTGTTCCTAAACCCCTTCCAGCTCTACTTCTTGTCTCTTTCTTTCACCACTTGAAGTAAAAAAGAAAGAAGAAAACATCTCGCCTCTGACCTCTGGGGTGGCCCCCTTGGACATCACTTTAACCAGATACCCAAGTCGATTTCAGCGCTATCTTCTAGCAAAGTCCTTATTCACGAAATGAGAAACAAAATAAAAGTATATTTTCTTTTGTTTTCGGTATGTCTCTCAATCTATTTACTACCTTCTTCATCTTTGTGTTCACTTTCGATTTAATTTATGCTTTTTTTTTTCTTCATATTATCAGCATTCTTACACTGTTACATAATAAGAGGAAAGTGAATGCTAGCATTTCTCCTTTTACCTAGTTTTCGGCTTCACACCATATATTTATATTGATACAAAAATAATTACCTATGCTATCCACCAAAGAAAACTATACTGCTCTGAATGGGGATTTAACTTCCACACCCTAAGAACAAATTAAAAAAAAATCATTGAAATCATTTCACGTGAATTTTTGTAAACATGTACCGAGAACATATCTAACTTCCTAATTTTCGGAGTCCATCAGATCACAAAACCAGGGAAATTAACTTACCACTTCCTTGTTCCTACTATTCGGCTAACACATTACTTTTGACTCCAGTTGTAAAATTCTCATTATCATTAATGACTAGAGGCACTCGGTTGTTCTAATCTCCTTACATTCCTTTTCTTCTATGAAAAAGTTTACTCACATACTGACCTTTTCAGTAAACGCTATATTCATTAAAAAAATACATTTTTATGGAACTTAAAGCACATAGAAGACTCAAGACTTGTGCTCATTTAATAAAACGAACTGACTCAAGTGTTTAAAATAAATAATATATTTTTATTTTAGTGTGATGAGTGAGCCCTTTGGTATTCGGCGCCACAAAAGTTCCTTAATAAGGCGGATATTGGTAGCAGCCTGGAGAAAGGTCCGGTACTTGTGTTTTGAAGTACGACCATGATAGGTGTAGTAGTAATTCCAAAAATTAGGCCAATGTCAATCTACTGTGTTTTTCTAGGCTTCGAGCAGGGCGGAAATATCAGTAGCAAATGACCTATTAACTGCTTCTTCGCGCGTCACGTATGACAGGTTCTTTTGTTACGTCCTTTCCTGCTGTCCTATTTGCCTCTAGCCGATGGGACGGCAGGAGAGCCTTCCTAATTTTTTGTATTTTTCAGTCACAAATAAGTAGGCTCTGTTCCTGCAAACTTCCGGTATTTGGGGCCGCGTTGACTCTTTTCTTCTTCCTCTTTTTATTTGAGGGTTGCCTTCTCGTTAGTTGAGAGATAAGTATAGAAAGAGAAGTATAGAGAGAAAAAGAAAGAAAGAGATAATGGTTTTAAAAGGAAATAGCAATATATATATATATATATATATATATATAATGAAAAACAGACGCTTTAAGGTACCATTACAATAATTTATTTCACCAAAATCCTTTTTAAAGGATTTCGGATCATCAGGTAACACTTCCAACAATGTTCTGTTCTTTACATTGAGCTCTCAGGATTTCATCCTCCTTGGATTTACCAAGTTCTTCATAACTTAATTAATATATATATATATATATATAGGGACTCAATCTACAGTATTTTCATTTCAAAAGTAGACCAAAAGTGGACATTTTTTAATACATTTTTAACTTGTATTAAAATTAGTTTGATTGTTAGGTTGTAAGTTAGAGAAAGAACCCATGCCTTAAAAAAAAGGCTTGGGTTCTTTCTCTAACTTACATCCGTGTTATTTCTTTACTCAAAGTATTTTTGTCTTTCTTGCTCGAAGACACGGAATAAATTAAAATTTACCTTCCACGTCTTACATTTTATTATTTCCGAGGGAAGAAAGTAACAGAAATAAAAATCAGGTTCCTTCGCAGTATCAAAAAATAAGTTTATTTTTTTTACACAGCCTCACAATGACATTCATAGATAAAATCAAAACCTTTCAGCAACACACTTCTGTTGTTTAGTTTACAATTCAGGAGAAAACAGAACAATTTCATAGAAATATTTAAAATGTATAAAATTAAAAAAAAATAAAAAACACAATTCAGTTGGAGAAATATTCCACGGTCAAAAAACCTTCGTTGAACTAAATAAATGTTTCAGTTTCAATTTCGAAAATCTTAAAAGGAAAGGCTCTCTTTCCTAAGTTCCACTCAAACAGCTTCTGCTTCTTCGTCCTATGAACCGCTACTTTGTGGAACCAACACCAAAGAGGATGCTTTCCTGAATACTACAGTCTTCAAGTCTAAGGTTAACCGTTATCTTTCCCACATATCCTCATAAAACTGTGCCTCTTACCTTCTATACTACAAACTAAACACCTTCAGTAAATTCTCTACCTACCTCGAGTGGCTTTTTTTGTCCTTGAATTAAAAAAAATCCTGGATTACACAGCCCATTAAGAAAATAAAATATTTTACATTTAAATTTAAAAAGTTATTCATTTTGATTAATTCATATCCACTCTTTTTTATTTTAAGTTTATTTTGAACTGCGAAAAACAACTTTTATACATGACGTTGGAAAAAAATTAAGTCTAAGACAAGAAGAGTGATTTAGCACTAACACAGAATCGACCAATAGTTAGTTTTTAAAACTTTTTTTTTTTACTTCTGTGTTGACAATTAAAAGAAAATTTAAAATAATACTTATACTGATTTTTAATAAAATATGTGAAAAGAAAGCTTGTACACTTTAGGACCCTTTTTATTTTACATTTCTGTTAAACTCTATACAGAAATTCATTTTCATTGACAAAACAAAAAGCATTAATTTTTTAAATCTCTGAAAAAGAAGATACGAAACTAAATATTTTTGCCACTAGAGGGCGTCCCAGTTATCTTCTCCTAATTGACTGTTCTCGTGTAACACACGTGGTTTATTATTTCTTCTCCAGTTTGATCTTTCATCTTTTCTTTTAAAAATTCTACCCTTATATTTACGACTTAGTAAAAAAAGATCCTAAAAGAGGTATGGAAGAAGTAGCTGAAATAAAATCCGAGGAAGAATTTGTACCTGTCAAGTCAAGGAAACGAAAATCCGCTGCAAGTCAAGATGTGGAAATGGAGACTACCACTACAGTCACCGGTACAAATTCAATAGAAGATGAATCCAGTGTTCAACCAGCAGCTAAAAAGCCTTTCTATCCGCCTCTTTCAGCTTCAACTCTACAAACAGATTCACAAAAGCGGAAAGTTCCTATTCCTAACCACAGATACACACCACTGAAAGAAAATTGGCTGAAAATCTACACACCAATCGTTGAACAACTCAAACTACAGATCCGATTCAATATAAAAACACGAACAGTTGAGTTACGTACATGTAAATCCACAGAGGACATCGGTGCTTTACAAAAAGGAGCAGACTTTGTCAAGGCATTTGCCCTTGGTTTTGATGTTGATGACGCCTTAGCCTTACTCAGGTTAGACGATCTTTACTTAGAGTCATTTGATGTAACTGATGTGAAACCGCTTAAAGGAGACCACCTCGGACGGGCTGTAGGTCGCTTGGCCGGTAAAAACGGTAAAACAAAATTTACCATTGAAAACGTTACCAAAACTAGAATTGTTCTTGCAGACACTAAAGTACATTTGCTTGGCTCTTTTCAAAATATCAAAATAGCACGTACCTCTATATGCAATTTGATCCTCGGCAGTCCACCATCAAAAGTCTATGGCAAGTTACGAACTGTTGCGTCTCGATCAGCTGAAAGTTTTTAAGATGCATTAGGGGGGGGGGGAGGCAACCCCCCCACCCCAGCATGTTGCAATAACATCTTCTGTCTCTGACAGCTAAACATTTTTGTGTTTCCTATACCCTGTGTATAAATCTAACAGAAGTGACTTACAATGACTACATTATGGGTGCTTCGCACAAGTGGCCTTGTGCCAGACTAAAAACTTAAGCTGTATTATAAACAATTAGTTTTTCTACAAGTTTTGCGTTGGATTCAACTCAATCGTCGGATTTTTAAAAACCTGTTATCACAATTTAAAATTTTATCGCGAGAAGTTTATAAAGAAAAATTCTCAATGCAAAAAGTATCGTTTCGGCGATAATTTGAGAAGAAATATAGGCCAGGATGTTTATTTAAGATTTAAAGCCTATTCAGAATTAATTAAATTACCATATTTCTAAAACAAATTTTTAAAAAATTAACTTCAAACTTCTTAATCCTTTTTGAAAACGATAAAACTTTATTGTGATAACCTGTTTATGGTATCCAATTGCAAGATTATTAAATAATCTCTACAGTTGTTACATTTTTTTTTTTTTTTTTACAACACTGTCACGGTTTTTACACGTATGAATAATTTTGTGAGATTCATTGCCGAGAAAGCTTTAAGGTTTCTGATTAAAATTACAAATTTTCAACTAGTTAAACGAAAAAAAGCTTCCTCTCAATAATCCGTCTAACCATTTTTAAATTTTCACTTGCTTTCACAGTATAAGAGTCCATTTTTAAACAAAGTTATCGAAAACAAGAATATATTTTAATTAATTAAACAACTTGTAATTTTATTCACAAACTTCAATTAAGTGACTAAGTCTTTCTTATCGGCAATTAGTTTCTCATTGTAATTTTCTACCTCATGGGTAATCTTTGAGGGAAATATTATTTTTATTTTAAAAACTGATTCTTGTTTTGTTATTTTTTATTTTAATATATTTCAAAGTAAACAAAGATGAATTTTTTACGTCACTGAAAAGTTCCGTAAAAAAAAAAATTAAATTACATATTTTCTTAAGTATTTTCCAGAAAAGCACATCGTTGTTTTTTAATGTGTTAGTTACAAAACTTTGATCTGAAACACTTTAGTTTTTAAACTATTTTTTTTTTTTTTTTTAATTCCGACTTAAATCATCACTATTTTTCTTCAACATGTTACTTTGAGGGGGAAAAACTGATATTCAAAATTTAAAAATATAGTTACTTTACTTTTAAATAGTGTTTGTTTGTTACCACGGATTATTTCACAAAAAATCGACAAATTTTAATGTGAATTCTCCGCTAGATTTTTAAAAGTAAAATTCACGTAATTTTTTTTTTTTTTTTTTTTGCTTCCGTAAATTTTAATTGGTTTAATTTAAAAAAAAAAAAAAAAGTATTTTTTTCTTTTTTTTTGATTGTTTTAAATTTTTTAATCCTTTTTAGCACGTTCGAAATTTTGGTTAAAAGAACTTTTTCTTGCGTTGAGCAGTGTTTCACGTTCGTTATGACGGATGACCACCGATATTGAAAAAACACCGACAACATACGTCCATTAATTACGCCATGCTTTATTTCAGTAATGACTACATGCTGCGCTAAAAAAAAAAAAGCAGACATTCACCGTCTGCCCGTGAAGACCCTGACTTAGTTCCTCATGCAACATCTTCCTTCTCTGAAAGAAAGAAAAGGATTTTCTAACCTTGCTAACTAGGAGATAGATATAAAGTTCAAGTCTTTTTCTTGCAAAATAACTGTCTAAAATAATGGTAGACAACTTTGTCTTGGTGACCTAGGCAGTCATGCAGCCGACTACTCTCTTGCCTAACAAGTATTATTCTGCCCTTTCACTCTGGACTTGCTTCACTTTGTGAAGTCTCCAGTCTTACTGGAGTCTTGATCACTCTCCCCGACCGTGTGCTCCTCACTGCCCTCTCATTTCGAGGCGTTTTAGGAGTCCTCACTGTATCTGGATTTGATCTTGTTGGGGTTGATGCCCGACTCGCCCTTTCCCTCACTACATTCTCCTGTCAAGGTATTTGTGGGGTAGGATTCACCTCTGTACACAGTCTTGTGTTTGTTGATGCCTCGCTTATTTGCTTGGTATGACTGGTGGCCCAATGCTGGTAATGGAGCTGCTTCTGCTGTTTTTTTCAAGTCCACTCTATTTCGTTGACGCAGCTCCCCATCAACCTTGATGTGGTATGACCTCGCACCCAGTCTCTGCCACACAATCGCCTTTTTCCACTCTTTCTGTCTTTTCACATGTGGTTTGACACGCACCACATCTCCAGGAAATAAAGGTTGCAGAGATTTCAACTTTTGATTGAAGTATTGCTCTTGTTTCTTGCTGTCGTACTTCAGTCTATTTCAGATTCCTGTGTATTTCTGGTCTTAGCAGCTCTTCCCTGGTTGGGAGAAGCGTTTTCGTTGTCCTTGACATCAGCTTCTGTGCTGGTGACAGGAGACCTTTAGCCGATGTGTTCCTGTGATCCAACATCACTATCTATGGGTCAGCCTTATCTTCCATGGCTTTACGGAAAAGGTTCTTTGCCATCTTTACCGCTGATTCCACTTTACCATTTGCTTTGTTGTTGGAAGGACTGACAAGTGTATGTTAAAAACACCACTTTCTATGCTAGTGTGTTGATATTTTGGCATTCACAACAGAACATCATAGTCATTTCTATCTTGCCAAATTCCATCTTTACTCAAGCATCATCATCATTATTATCATCATCAATACTAAAAAAATGTATGTATGTATATTACAATGAATCATTCATACAGAAAGCCAAATGCAAAATATTGAAAGGGAAAATATAAAAATCTGGTATGATAACCAGTTGTGAATCTGAACCTTCTTTTTTTTACTCATTGATATCTTTGTTACCCTTACCTTTGTCTTGCTTTTGTTGAGCCACCTAAGGAGAAAAATAGGGTGATGAGATACTTTGGCATTCTGAAAATGTTCTAGACCTTGAATATGGCATTGCATATTGCTGTCATTTACTGGTTTGGGTGTTGGGTTGTTTTAATTGCCTGCCAATAAGGACTAAAACTAGTTAATCTGGGTGAAACCATTCACCTATGTATTGAATATTGCTGCTACATCTGGTCTGGTGCTTCACTGTATTTAGAGATTCTTGATAAAATGCAAAGAAGGATCTGCAATGTTATTAGTCTTGATCTGGCATTTCAGCTTTAGTTATTTTCTCACTGGTGTAATATAGCTTCCCTGAGCCTTTCTCTAAATATATCATGGTAATTGTTCTGATGCATTTTCACTTTGGTACCTAGAGTTTATGAATTTCAAAGCAGTACTAGATTGGTGGCAACTTCCCATCATTTTACAGTTGAAATGGCTAGATGCAACTGAAAGCTCTATGCTAACAGTTTCCTCTCTAGCACTTTTGTTGAACTCTCTTCTTGGTTTTTTGCTTTCTAGTCAACTTTGATCTCCAAAAATTTCAATGCAATCTCAATCCTTGTCCTCTTTCTGTTCTTTTATTGTTCTCTCTCCTTTAAAGTGTTTTTTTTTTTTTTTTTTTTTTTCCTTTCATTTCTTTCACACTCAGTAACCCTTTGCATCTTAGTGGCTTTGTTGCCTTGCTTGGAGTAAAATGATTAAAAAAAAAGAAAAATCACTCTTTTTCAAGTACAGCAATGATATGTGGGTTTAAGGTTCCTGAAGAAGTTTTTTTTTTTTTTTTTTTTGTTGAATAAATATTCCCCCCACTTAGGTTGTTTTGTTTTTTTTTATTTTGTCACGTGGTATGATTTTGGCTATCACCTATAAATATGTGTTTCTCTTTGCCTCGTTAGCCAAACTTTCCCTGACGATCCGTTTAGGTGAAACCTAGGTAGGTTTGTCTGGCTCACTAGGTGCATATATATATATATATATATATATATATATATATGATAGTTTATTATTGTTCCTCAAGATTCATTGTCACATTTGTCATGACTAGGATATAAGGAAGAAACCAGATGTTTTATCAAATTTGCTCAGAATATCTGAAGAGTGGTTTCACATTAGCGTCTTCTCTGGTATGAAATCCAAATGAGAAGAGTTCTTCACTGAAGGGTGGGAAAAATGAAAGAAAATAGTATATGTTAACCTAATGGACAAATGTATGTAAAATCAATGTGAATTATTTTGCTGAGCATGAAAATTTCCATGTATATATTTTTTTTAATATAGAATTACCTGTTTAATTTTGAGAATGAATTGGCCACATTTTTTTCTTTTTAAGGCTGTTTTACCTGAAAAAAAATTGTCTTCCTTACAGATTGTCCATATGGATAAAGATATAGAAGAGGATTGACAAATCCAGGTTACATTTTGAAAGCAAGGTGCTAATTAATTTTTTTATTGTTTCTTGAGTAGCATAACTTATTAATGCTACTATGGACATTAATGAATTATCAAATTTTTATTTTTATAATTAATACCAGATTTTATGGTGGACATTTATGGGTTAAAAGTAACCAAAAAATATCACTGTAAACATATAACAGACTCCTGAGCTCTTCACTGACAGGACAATAAAACTCCAGGATTTTTCTTTCGGTCAATGTGTACAAAACTTGGAATGGTTCACTAAACACTCATAAGGAAATGAAAGGTGAAAATAAACACCAAGAAATAAAGACTCAAGCCCTATTTTTAGTATATTTGTATATATTTACTTCAGGAATTCTCTTGCAGTCTAGGTAGGTAGATGGGTGATACTTGACAACTTCTGATATCTGTTTTTCCCATCAATCAGCAAGAACTCTGACTTTCTCCTACCAACTTTTCATTTCTACCTTATGACACATGGGTGACATCAGAACTACCTCTAATCAGCTATCTCCTAGCCATGAGCAGCCTGGCACTATGAAGAACAATCTGTACCTTGCCAAGTGCAGTTCAGAACTCCACTCAATGCTGTCACTGTTAATAAATGACTGGAAATCAACATCTAGTTTGTTGCCACTTGACCCCAAAAGTCTTCATTACTT